ACAATTACCTTGACAAAACCTAGTTCTCTAGTTAATGTTAGGACCAAGAAAACCAAGAACGCCGCAGGGAAGGATGATGCATCGGTTGCGCGCTCATCTCATACGCCGCCTCCCCACGGGTACGGCGGCGAGCGGTGGTCAGCGTAGCCGCCCGCGCCCATGGCCGCCGGAGGTTGCTGATGGGAGGGCGCCATTGGCAGCTGTGGCTGCTGCACATCTTGCCCACCAGCCGAGGTAGCGGTGGTGGAGAGGTTGGGCTTGACGTCGAGGGGCTCGGGGGCATCGGCGAGCGGGAGGCGCTCGTAGACCGCGTTGGCGAAGGTGGCGGCGAAGATGGTGACGGGCCCGGCGGCGACGAGGGGCCCCACGACGCAGCCGCCGAGGACCTGGCCCTGGCCGGCGGAGACGAGCACGGCGAGGCCCGACGCCTCGGGCGGGGCCGGGGGTGGCAGCACGGTGCCCGTGACGGAGAGGAGCTCGAACCGGCCTCGGAGCGGCGCCGCGGCGCCGCGCACGGCCACGTCCCCGACCGCGCCCGACGCGCCCAGGACGCAGACGCCGCGGCCCCGGCGGCTCGCGTACTCCGCCACGCACGCCGACACGTCGGCGCCCGGCGCCACCTCGAGCACGTGCGAGTGGAGCGCGTCGGGGCTGTCCCGCGTGATGATCACCGGCGGCTTCGGCTTGTTCTTGGACCCCAGCGGCCGGCCCCGCGGCCGACGCAGGGGCACGATGGCCCCCGCCGCGCCCGCTGCTTGCTGCTGCTTGCCGCCCTCGGGCGAGGCCCCCGCGGCCCCGGCTGGCGCCGGGGGAGCTGGCGCCGTGGCTAGCGCCGGCGGCATGGGCACCGCCTGGTGCTGCTGCGGCGGCGGGAAGTCCAGTGCCGCCTGCTCCCACCACTTGCTGCTGGCCATGCACGTACCCTCCCTCCCTCCAAATCTGCCACTGGCTGGACCTACAGTGTTCCTGCAGCTCCTCCAAAGCTTCCTGCCTTCTTGCCTCCTCTTCCTGGATCTCGACTAGAGTAGACGAATGGGATATAGGGAGCAGATGGAGAGAGAGCGGGGTCTGCGGGGAGGTGAGCAGTCCTTTGTTGCAGGTTTGGTGCGTCTGTTCCGCGCAATGGAGCATGGGAGCGCCTCGTGACGGCGGGGACAGGTGGAGCGCTGCGAGGAGGCGCGGCACCGTCCCCCGCGCCGGGTACGTGTCGCGCGCGGTGCAGGCCGAGCGCCCTCGCCCAATCTGTAACGCTCGGTCGTCGTCCCATAGTCCGCGCCCGTTTCCTGCGACGTTCCGCTCCCCGTTACTCCTGCTGGCCGGTGCGAAACTGTCCGCAGAAACCAGATGCCATCCCATACATACACATCCAAGCTCCCCATGCCTTCGACGTGAACGATTTCACAGTTTTTAGATTGCTATATGAAACTCAATCGTGTCTCTACGGTACGTGATATCGAGTTTCATGCTTCAACCATTTCGGCTAACAATTGAAGCTTTTTGAAATCAGCATGGCAAGCAATGTCAGACTTAGGGCCTGTTTAGATCCAGTAGCAATAAAAATTAACAGCTAAAATTAGTGTCAGTGGATCCAAATAGATCTGCTAATGTAACTAATATTTAGCAGCCCTCCAGCTAATAATTAGTAGGTTAGTCATATATATATATATATATATATATATTTGCAGCTATTAGCTATTAACTAATGAATGAAACAGGTCCTTGAATAGTTGTCAAAACCAGTAAGACGATACACACTTCAATATTTGGCACTTGACAGTTGCCACTAAGGCTTTGTTTTCATCGAAGAATGGTGATCCGATGAGATTTACTCATTGGCATACAAGGGTATCAACTTTGTTAGTATAATAATATATACACAGCCCATTCGGATAGCTACGAAATGGCTTGATTGACAAGTTTGTCCCGTTCCAGATGGAGTAAACGCAACTTCGCTGCATAATAATGACGGTATCGCTGCCACCTGACCTTAGCTTGCATTTGATTGCTACCCATGGTTTATAAAAACCTGCAGTCGTAGAATAGGATTATCTTGCTCAATAATATACACTTGAGGGCAAGTGATGGCCCTTAGTCAACTCGTTGATCCAGGCACTAATTTTTTAAAGCCGCCAACAGCAACTTGCTGTGCACAACTAATGACCAGGGGTTAGCAGGAAGCATACTTTTCCTTTGGGTGAGTAGGAGTATTACACAATCAACTTGAGGGCAAGTGATGGCCCTTAGTCAACTCGTTGATCCAGGCACTAATTTTTTAAAGCCGCCAACAGCAACTTGCTGTGCACAACTAATGACCAGGGGTTAGCAGGAAGCACACTTTTCCATTGGGTGAGTAGGAGTATTACACAATCAATCTTCAGTTGTTCGGAGTTTATATTGGGCCATGGTTTTGCGCTGTGAATAGTGTAATCTTGTTGGGCACATGCTTGTTTCATCAAAATAACAAAGACTCAGTTGAAGTTGTTGCATCTTACATCGGTGAAACCGAAGATGCATGAAATTGTCTGAATATAATAGAAGATTTATTTCCATTTGTCATGACATTATTGATTTGCAAAGTGCAAAGGTTTTAGTTCGGGACAATGCTACGGTACATCCTTTACTTACTTAGGAGGTAATATCTTAAACAAATTTGAGTCCTTGATTTTTTTAAAAAAAATTAGACTAATTGATTAATTAATTGACGTAGGAAAAAGAAAAAAGATCTTGCCAAATCCCCAAGTCACGGTGACCTCGTCACGGAGACAGAGGCTGCTTGCCTCCTTCCTTTTCTGTGAAGATAAGAAATTAAGGAACCTATAAAAAAATTAAGGAAATCTTCACTGATAATAAGTTTTAACTTTCAAGACCTTTTACGTTTATATTTTAAATCTCACCATGCCGATTTCAAGTTGATATCTGAATGAAAATCTGAATTCAAACTAGCCAATTTGTATTCATATACGATATGTCCATATCTGTATTCGAAGTCGAACTATAATAAGGATAATGTTTTCTGAGTTCGATTTCACGCACATTTGTATTCCATAGTTTATCTTAGAGAGCAATTTTCTATTATAATAAATATATAATAGAAAACATTTATGTGGTATCTTATAGAGCATGTATAGACGTCTATAGATGCTAACACGTTTTGTATAGTAGCACGGTAACATGTAAGCACGTCCAAAATCACACATGTGGCACTATGGCAACACGGTACAAAATTGTGTGTAAATCAAGTGTATCAAGTCATATACAAAATTATATGGTAATCATAATATATCAAGTCTAAAGTTGCCAAATAAAAAGGATCTACCATATCTGCCAGATCACACATGCATTAATCAAATCTAGAAAAAATATTTTTTATATCTCAAACTTTCCTTTTTTATCTTTTTTATGAAATAAAAAAATTAAATAAATATATACTTCACATATTACCTCCTATGAGGTAATAGGTAATCGTAGCCGTTCGATCTAAGAAAATGCACGGCGTTCGATCTAAGAAAATGAACGACTCACAGTTATTTGAGGATACCATGCCATTTCCCTTTACTTCGGCCAAGCTAGGCCAAATCAACCAAAGGGCAAAATGTAATCATTGGTGAAGAATGCCCTAAAACCTAAACCCGACCTTTGTTGTTACATTGAAGACTTCGATGTTGGGTGGGGGGTGGGGTACAGAAGAAAATCTGCCCAGTTGCAGAAACCAACCTAGCCAGCTTGAAAAATGGCTAAGCCAATTTTTCCAAAAGATCTGCAAAGAATTACAAATCCAAGACAAAGGTGAGGTCGGGCTTTTAGGAACTTTTGGGCATGGTTACCAGGAAGAAAAAGAATTGTCCAAGCAACGAGGATCTGAAGACATCGGAAAAACATCAAGAGCAACCAGGTTGTCAATCAGAGGTAATCATGTTATTGCACCTTACCCTATTTATGGGTCATTTCTATGCGCACTTGGTTATATCCTTGCACTTCCTCACTTTAGGATTATAGTAGTATGCATATGCCCTAATATATTATTCAATATCCAATTGCATACTCCAAGTATACTTCATCACCATGACTGATTATTGTTAATTATAATATGGTCAAAAGCACATCTCCTCATGTTAAAAATAAAGTGAGAAGAGAATCAAGTAAATATTTAAATATCTTCATTCGAAGTGGTGTCCCTTAGGATCATCTCACACACAAAAGAAGTGATTGCAGCTAATGCGCATAGAAAGACCAATGGAGCAACAAGTAGAGGTTATTCTAGCAGAGGCTAAGCAAAAGTCAACATCTACGAAGAAGGTATGGAAGCCGAAATAGGTTGCTTGTACATCTACTTGAGTTTGATCAAGAGTTATGACCGAAAACATGATTATCACCCTTAGAAGAAAATATGGTCTATGAATCATTGTTAGGCTGTTGTCTATAATAATGTTTTTTTAGTATGCGGGCTTTATAAAAAACAAGGAGTATATGTTGCAACTCAAAAATGGCCAAAAGAGGCAAACTAGGATTGATTCTAGGAAAAAATGGCTTAGTCGGTTTCCCAAACATGCCAAGCTGATTTTAGAACTTTCTCAATTGCAATTTGTATTTTACCATTGTGTTCCAGTTCTAGAGACAATCGAAATGCATAATATCGAAGGCCAAATTTGGAGTCCAAATGAGGAAATTACGCTTTTGGAAAGATTTAGCCCGTAAACCGATTAAGACGATTTTGGCAGCCTAGATTAAATTAGAGTTGTATTTGACATGATTTGTAAGAGATTTTGACCGCCACGAGATAAGTCCACTCCACCCTATAAATATAAAGGTCCACTGTTGTTTCAGGGCATCTGATCAATCAAAAAACCAATCTATTATCTTCTTTGTCTTTGTCTTTTACTATTTTCTGCCCTGATCTCTTCTAACCTCCATAATTATTGTTCTATAAGCATATTAATGCTATTTGTGAGCATTCTAGGTGGTCTTGTCGATTCTAGATCAACCCTAGGTGCGCCTCCTCGATGGGCTCCTTCCCAGGAGGTGTCTCTAGGTTCTTCGCGGTAAATTTGCCAAAACCAACTAACCCATTTTGCTTTGCTTCATCGTGAATTGATCCTCAAGAGTAAGTGATCCTCATGTGATCCGAGCATGCTAGCCCTTTAGATGTGGGGCTAGATTTGTGTCAATAGAGGATTGTCATTTAGGACGCATCCTGTTGTTTGACTCAAAGGTTGTACTATGATGTCTTTGTCTGCTAGTTGTCTCTTGAAAGTAAACTCTCCCGAGGGTCAAATGGGTGGTGCTAGAGTGATGGGATCGTTGGTTTCATTTGATGTAGCTGGTGGCAAGATGATTGCATTCGAGGGGTCACTTTGGGTATTATTTATGTGTTTCATGTAGAGGCTTGTGGATCTCCTTGGGATGCACTTGATGATGTATTTCTTGCTGTCCTTGGTTTGTTTGTTCAATCCACAGATGGTGCCAAACTATTGGGAGGTAGATTCTCCCCTAGACACTCATGGGAGGCTCGATGGTTTCAGGGATCACGAGCTCTCAATAGTAAGTGAAAAAATGAAGTTAAAGCCATAAAAAAAGAACACAAAAAAGCTCATCAAACATCATATTTATAGGAGAGACAAATGGTTGCCCTCAAAGATGTCCCCGTTATACCAACTATATTCCTGACATATTCGAGGCACAATGATTTTTTGCCCAGATCTACCGGCTTTGTGGTCCCACTTGCTTGCTCTAGTTCTCCACCCTGAGGCTAGTTGTGAACCATATTGAAATAACGAAGGTTTAATTTCTCTCGCCCCTGCTCATCGTGTAGCTTTGGGATCTCACAGGAGTTTTTGAGTCTCATCTAGAACCCTTTGGGAGCTTCCAATCACCATGTTGTTCCGCAATTACCTGCACTCTCTTCACTCTCCCATCTTCTCCTTGTGGGTTGGTGTTACCTACGTACGCGGATGCTGAGTTTGATGCACCTCCGCATGCAGGTGCAATGGAGAGAGGCAATGTATGAACGGGGATGGTGTTTCCAAAGGCCTCAGCCCCAATAGAACATGTCCCCTATTCCTTCTTACCTTTGTTAGTAACCTTCAACCATAGTCGCTAGCTATGCATAAAATACAAAAAAAATACAAAATCTTAGTTGATTTCTATGGAAACTATTTTGCTATCACTATTTTATTACAATTAGTTCAAAGAGACCGCAACATAAAATACAAAAATAGATTTACATAGTAATTCTGATATCATAGTTTGCTAATCCTTGAGCTTCATACTACTTTAAAAGGTAAATTCCTGTGGTTGTATAAATCCCTAACTTTTCTATCCTCCAAACTGTTTGACAATCAGAGTGTTAAGGACTACTGCATGTAATTTATTTATAAGCTCATTCCACTTTGTTACCCTCTTTTGTTCAAAAATCTCTTTCAAAATCCTAAGGGGCCATTTGGCAGCGCTCCTTGGAGCAGCTTCTCCTAGCTCCCTCTTCGTCTAAACACTAAAAATCTATATAGTCTAGTGGGGGGCAGACAATAATCACTTCTTTATTTACCTGGGGAGCTAGAAGCAAAAAACTTGTTTCTCACTCCCTATTCAATCCACACCAGAATCATTTCAGATTCAGTTCTTACCTGCTCCCCACTAGAATCAACTAGAATCACTCCATCAAAGAATCAAGGAACTAGATCTAAAAATCAGGGAGTGAAACTCTACCAAACATGCCCTAATATTATTGCCCTTCATTCTAACAATATGTTACTCTATAATGCATTATTCTTTCAGTGGTCGACGAGATGTCTATTGATAGCAAGACACTTGTGGTGACTTTAGTTTGTCAATCTTAAGATTTGCTTGTTTAGTTTTTGGAAGGTGCTCGTATGGGTAGAGTTTGTATGTGTATATTTATAGGAGTGAGTGTGCATGTATGTATGTGAGTGTCTATGGTTGTGTTTCACAAAAAGGTATATCATCTATCTCCAATGAGTTCCAACAAATTTCCTCTCCTAAGCAAGAGGTTGGATATGTTGTTTCTATTTGCATATGGAAGGACTTATTGTTCATCCATGTTGTAGATTTTTGTTCAATGTTACCGGTTGCTCCACTATGGAATTATAAGCGCCATGAGTGAGCTCTAGACATTGGATTTGTGGCTTACCCAATGTTTGGGGTTACTCAACAATTCTAGTGTAGTGATTGTGATTGTTGTGTGACTATGGCACTCCATGGTGTCTCGTCCACTGGAGCCAAGGTGAAGAGACATATACTCCTTCTGTCCCAAAATAAATCAATTCCTGAAATCACTCTAGATCAAACCATCTTAAGTTTTTGCAATTTAGCTTTTTGCGATGTACTGCCTCTATTTGAAAATCGATTAATTCATAGAATCATATAAAGTCAAACTATCTTAAGTTCGACCAATTCTGTAGGAAATGATAATAACGTCTATGACAACAAAGAAGTATAATATGAAAAATACATTTCATGATGTATCTAGTGATACTAATTTATTGTCATTAATATTGGAGCTCTTTTTCTATAAATTTGGTTAAAGTTATTAATGTTTGACTTAGAACAACTATAAAAGTTTATTTAATTTTGAATGGAGGGAGTGTATCACAAGAGACAAATACCAAACTAGAAAGTGTAGATGCTTCTCAATGCCTCTATATAGAACAAAGAACTATTGTGAGTTTGTATGGCAATAATATATAACTCATATAATGGTTTAAGAATTATCTTATACTAGTAGCCATTAATTTTAAAGATGGTTATTTTTTGAAATAACTATCTCTTCATCTCATCACCTATTTTATATGGTATTGCATATGACATCCCTTGAGATCGATGCTGCTTAGCAATGTATTTGCCCATGTGTGTCCCCACTTGAGATTAGAAACAAGGGAGCAGTGGAGACCACAAAATTGAGCAGACATACATATCAAAGGATATCACGTTTAAAAACTGCAAGTCATTTTAGTTTTTGTTTCTAAATGAAACTTACTTAATTCTGACCGAGTTTATATAAAAATATATTAACATCTACAAAATCAAATAAATGCACAACCAACATATATTATGGTGTATCTATTAATATTGCTATAGACGCTATAGATGCTTGTTATCTTTTATAAACTTGTCCAAAACTAAATAAGTTTGGAACACAGAAATTCAAAACAGAAGAATGGAAAAAATGTAGCAATAGAATATGAAGGAAACAGGAAAATAGAGGAATGGAGGTGTCTCATAAGACCATAGATGAAGGAAACCGGAACAGAGGTGTCTCACAAGACCATAGATGAGCACAGGAAGGGCAGTCCAGTACTCCAATTTGTATGGTGACCAAGCCCATATGTTTCCGCTCAAAGCGGCAGTGTGGTGATCTGGGCGCAGTACTACTATATTCTCCAGGTTCATGTATGCCATAGCAATGCCTTTTCCCCTCAACCTGTCAACCAGCATCGTCAAGTGATTATTCTCTGTCACTAACATAACATAAAGCTAAGCACTTTGACGCCGATCCAACACATCCCGAGCTCGTCCTTTTCCCCACACCAAACAGCTCAGCCTGTCCGACCCTTTCGCTAACTCGATCCAGCGAGCGAGTTTTATATATACTTTTAATTAAACCCTCGAGCTCGCGCCCGGCAGTGGCAGGTCAGCAGTAACATGCTCGCTTTGCCAATGGCCACTGGCCGCCACACCCACCTCTTCGAAGCCGACAAATCATCAGTGCTAATCCCGCGATCAGCCAGCACCTTGACCCCGCCTACGTGTCCCGGCTCGCCGGCGTATTATAGTGGCCCGGAGCGGCGCCGTGCCGTGGCCCGGGGTGGGAGCCCATGTGCGCGGCACCGGGCGGCAGCGGAGGGATCATTAGCCGACATGGGGCGAAAGCACGCACGCCCTTGGGGGGAAAAAAAAACAGCCCTAATCTTATCATCATCGTGGTCTAATCCTAATATATATCCTACTTCTTTACTGTTCGCCCGCCGCATCCTTTGCGCCGACGAGGGAGTTTAGCGGCGAGTGACCACATGGCTTGGGCTTGCGCGCCTGGGAGATTTGGGCAGCTGGCGGCTTGGTGCGCGTGCGTGCGGGGTCGTGGGCTCTGCTGCCACAGAGAGGGGGGGTTATCTTGGCGTACGGTCGAATCAACCTGAATCCAAGGTCCAAGCCAAACCCACGTCCGACCAAATGGATCACTGGCAAGCCGCAATTTTACAACTAGGAGTCTGTCTAGGAGTAGAAAGATGTGCATAATCTAGTAAGCATTGACGTGACTCGTGATTTTGTCTGTGAATTACAAATGCTGGTCACCTTCACCTCAGATGTCTTTCTTGCATAAACAGCCCCAATCTTCCGGTCTAATTACTTTGACCGGATCAGGCCTCTCGCCCCTCGGACCACACCCTCTCGTTGCCAGTTTTCAGTTCCAATCTATCTGGCCCAAGTGACACGCACATTTTGGTGGCCCGGCAGAAGGAACAACACGTCCTTATCCCAGTATAGCTTGACAGCTCACACGGCAGGAGGAGTCCGCAAGATCGGCCCAATATACTATGCTTTAGCACGTCAAACAGCTTAATAGTTACCCAAGGTACTGTTATAGACCACGAAATGTCCTAGGTAGCATAAGCAGCGACACTCTCTCGCTTTTCTTTTTGTTACTTTTTATTTTTCTCCATTTCCTTTATATTTAATTTTCTTCTTATTTATTTCATTTATATTTAATTGTTGTCATTTATTCCGTATTTATTTTTATTTTCGTTTCTATATAATTAATTAATACCATCGTAATCTTGTATCCATGATGGTGATATTCACTTGAACTATATCTTCTATATATAATAAGACTATCATCATAATATTCACGACGTATATTTTCATTATAATATTTATGAGATGTTCTCATGGTATTCTTGAGATTTTCCATGCTATATTATGTTTTTTAACAAATTGTTGGTATTCTATACATGCCGTATTTTAGTACACGTGAGATGTTCCACGATATATTTTAGATTGTTATTATTGTGTTTTCGATTGTTCACGTCGTACGATGAGATGTTCTATTATGTATTTTAGGTTGTTCGCATAGCGTCCATGATATGTTCTTTTTTTTTCTTACTACCGGAGACGGATATTATGGAATAAAACTAAACTATTGTTCTCCTGAACCTAGAACATTTTTCTTATGAAGATTGAACCTATAACATTGTGCAGCTTATTAAAAATGTTTATATTTTATTCTCAAAAAAATGTTTATATTTTCATGGGAAAAATGTTATTCGATGAAATATTATCTAAATATATTTAAATGGGGTCGTGTTTTTAAGGATATATTATAAGAAAATTTAATGTTGCAATCGAAATTTAATTGCGTACTAGGTTTATAAACTATAATTCTTTTAAGTTTTAAAATGTTAGCATGTCCAGATAAGAAAGATGTTCTATTCAACGGTACCACACGTATTGCTGAGTGTTGCGATGGTGGCTGGGTGTGTCAGGTCACTCTCGGCGTAGCATCCTGTTATCTAAGGGTCTTTTACTTTATGTTATTAAAAAAGATGGTCTAATCGTGTATGTCCCTAAAAAGTTTGATCTATCGTCAGTGTCCAAGCTTGAAAAACTTTTCTCTCTCACACCATTCTGTCTATTTACAGCATTTACGGTGTGAAATATGGGTGGCAAAGAACTTGAATGCCCCTGGAACTTTTATTTCTCATGTGCCACCGGGTGATTACGACAACGTACCAAACAAGTCATTTCGTAGTTTATTTGCTCCACGAGCCACAGAATTAAATATCAATGACCAATTTAATGCCATCACACGTGTTGTCCAGAGCGTCATCCCGCGGGAGGCGCCGCGGGACGTCACCCTGGAAGCCAGCACGGGCGCCTCGCCGCGTAGCTGCGTCCTCTCCGTGGCGACGTCCGACCTGACCTTCACCCTGCACGCCTCGCCGTTCCGCTTCACCGTGTCCCGCCGCTCCAGCGGTGACGTCCTCTTCGACACCTCCGCGGCACTGGTGTTCAAGAACAGGTACCTGGAGCTGACCACGGCGCTGCCGGCGGACCGGGCGTCGCTGTACGGGCTGGGCGAGCACACGAAGCGCACGTTCCGGCTGCAGCGCAACGACACCTTCACGCTCTGGAACGCCGACATCGCCGCCTCCAACGTGGACCTCAACCTCTACGGCTCCCACCCGTTCTACCTCGACGTGCGCCCCACCGCCGGTGCCGCGCACGGCGTGCTCCTGCTCAACAGCAACGGCATGGACGTCGAGTACGGCGGCTCGTACCTCACCTACAAGGTCATCGGCGGCGTGCTCGACTTCTACTTCTTCGCCGGCCCCGCCCCGCTCGACGTCGTCGACCAGTACACCCAGCTCATCGGCCGCCCGGCTCCCATGCCGTACTGGTCATTTGGTACGGCCAGCTGCCAACCAGTTGTTGCTTTGCTTCCATGGATGGATTCACTCTGTTCTTGCAGCTGATCGAGCATTTGCAATGGCGATCCGTTCCGGTTCGTTGCAGGGTTCCACCAGTGCAGGTACGGGTACAAGAACCTGGCTGACCTGGAGGGCGTGGTGGCCGGGTACGCCAAGGCCAGGATCCCGCTGGAGGTGATGTGGACGGACATCGACTACATGGACGCGTTCAAGGACTTCACGCTGGATCCGGTGAACTTCCCGGCCGGCCCCATGCGGCAGTTCGTCGACCGCCTTCACCGGAACGGCCAGAAATACGTCGTCGCCGCAAGGTGCTTTCTTTTTCGGTAAAACTACAGCTCGAGTGATTTTAGGACTCCGGTCACTCGATTCCTCGAGTGACTTTTTGGCTTTTTTGAACGTATGTATGTTTTATTTGGTTCGCCTTTGAAATTTTCCAATTTGGCTTCTATAGAAATGATCTGGTTATTTTTCTGATTTTTTATTTGTTGTTTGTATGTTTTATTTGCTTTTTCTTTGAATTTCTTCCAATTAGCACTTCATAGTAATATCTGGTATTTTTTGCTATTTTATTATTTAATTTTTGTATTTATTTGATATATTTTATTTGTATCGTTAGATCTGGATCCAGCGATTATAGATATCGAGTGATGGCTGAGATATGAACACTTGATTGTGTTTGTTTGTTGGAATCGAGTGATTTTAAGGAATGTGACACTCAGGTGTCACCTTTCCCTAAAACACTCGAATGTCCGGTAGAAACTCCCTTCTTTTTTTAGCAAACATATGAGCAAGGTGCTCTCTGCTGCTAGAAGCTCTCATAATTTAAAACTTAACCAGTGCAACACAAACACAAATGCAATACTCCGCCGAACTGTAACAAGACCATTTTTTTAATATGATCTTCTAACATCTTGTACTACGTTGTCAAAAGCATCTTGCAGAATGCAACAATTCACAAGGTGGGAACATATATAGCAATGCGAATTTGTTGCAATCCGATGTGGGGACTTGTCTGTTTCACCTTGTGATGGTAGGTTAGAATCTACAAAATCCCTAGCTGAAACACGTGTGATGGCATTAAATTGGTCCTTGATATTTAATTCTGTGGCTCGTGGAGCAAATAAACTATGAAATGACTTGTTTGGTACGTTGTCGTAATCACCCAGTCATCTATCACGCAGTGGCACATGAGAAACAAAAGTTTCAGGGGCATTCAAGTCCTTTGCCACCCACATTTCACATCGTCAGTGCTGCAAATAGACAGAATGACGTGAGAGAGAAAAGTTTTTCGAGCTTAGACACTGACGATAGATCGAACTTTTTAGAGACATAGACGATTAGACCATCTTTTTAATGGCATACAAGTAAAAGACCCATTATCTAAAGTTTAGTTGAGTACTAAAATTTTAGAACAGTTTAGTTCACTTATATGGTCTAAAGTTTTTACGAGGTTAACTAAATTTTAGATAATACTTTAGATATTATATTTGGAACCTCGAGAGCTAAAGCGACCTAATGTTCAGTGGCTAAACTTTAGATCATGAATCGAAACAGGGCTTAAATCATATTATATATCTAAATTGTCTTTTAAGTCACATCGTCTATACCCTGCCGGGTAGTTATCTCTATAAGATGAAATGAGGGCTAAGGTCGAGCAAGAGATTGGGCCATGTTGCTGCATTTTCCAGGCCGTCCGATTCGCATGCCAGTTGATCTAGCTGTCCAATCCAGTTCTCTGCCTCTAGCGTCTTCCCGCACGACGCTGCTGCCCCCTCCGGCCGGTCGGCCACTTGGCCCTCGCATGCGCCCTACACCCAATGCAAGCTCCACCGCAAGGGCAGACGCACTTGCACCTCTTGAGGAGCTGATGGTGCACCTAGAAGCTGCATGCCCGGCCACGACCACCAGTATAGGGCCTGTTTGCTTGAACTTATCAGCCGATTTATCGGTTAGAATCTATATTATTTTTCTCTCATAACAAAACAGTTTCAGTCGGCTGATATCAGCCGATCAGGCCTTGCCCACGTGCTACAACTGCCTAGATCTACTGTCACAGCGCCACAGAAGAGCACTTGTGAAAGGCCAAGCAGCCAGCAGCTCTCATGGAGAAGCCGGCGCTAGGCAGCTCAGATAGGGAAGCGCTCGCTCTCGTCGCACACCTCTCCTACGTACCACTGGTGGCTTCATGGACTAACGAGCGGCAGCTCGCCACCGGCTGTATCTCCAAGGGCGTGACGACAAGGAATGGGGAGATGGACTCTGGCGGTCTGGCCGGCATGGAGCGTGCCCTGGCGTGTGGCAATGATCGACCAACAATGTGGCAACACGCCACGCAACAACAGCCCAGATAGGGTACGCTCACTACACCATAACACCAAGATTAGCGATGGACTATCTGACGCTACTGGAGGCCACTAAGAAGTGAGATGGGCTCCAGGGAGCACTATAAGAAGCTCATCTATGGCCCTGTTTGGTTGGGCTTTTGGCTTTGGCTTTTGGCCCCAAAAGCCAAAAGCCTAACCAAAGGGGCTGCTTTTGAAGGGTGCTTTTTCAGAAGCAGCTGCTTTTCCGTAGTTCATTTTTGAAAGCTGGGTTGACCACGCTTTTGGCTTTTAACTACGCTTTTGAAATTGGTAGAATAAAAAGCTCTTCCATAATTGTTTCAAGAGAGATAAAGATAAAAGGTATATTTTATACTTGTTTAACCAAGCGACTTTGACTTTTCTACGACTCATAGCCCCAACAATGACTTTCCACTGACTCACATTACAATGACTTTTTCCACGACCACACAGCTCAACCAAACAGGGCCTATGTCACTTGCTTCTGCATTGTCATCCTGCAGCTAGCTATGAGCAAGAGGATCATGCACAGAGGCATGTTCAAATACACGTAGATCATGGATTAGCATCATCATGTCTATGAAATCCATTTGACCACCTGAAATTGATTGTATTTCCATTTCAATTTGTGTTGATGGCTAAAAAGTGATGGGGGAGTCAAAGATGGAACTATAAGATCACGTGCAAAGATCAAAAGGAGCTCTTCCAACTATTTATGTCCAGCACGTATCTCGATGAGATATGCCGACGTTCTAGGTTGTGGCAGAACCGCCTAAAATAACTCGTTTCCGGAGGTGTTTGTCTTCCATTAGACACTAAACGCACCAAGAGTGAGCTAATTTAAACAGTTCTGCCGAACTTACCCCATGGGAGAACCCGAAAATCCACATTTTTCAATAGGATCATGAATGGGAGAATAAAGCTTACAACATTTTAGCCATTTCTTACATCACTTTCCATGTAATATCAGAGTATAATATTTATTGTTTATAACAGCGGAATATAATCATGTTATCAGAGTTTCAACAGAATTAAAATCATTTAATGACAAGTTAAACATTAACATAATGATCCGTTATATACGTCATAACATGTTATAAATTTTTTCATTGTAAAATATTTTTGGGTGTAAGTTTCAAATAAACTCTATGTCCGCAACGTTAAGGAAATCTTCGCTGAGCCCACCAGGAGGTTTTCACACATAAGTGTCAGCTCCACATGTTCCTGTCACCTACAATAGGGTAGAACAAACCCTGAGTACTCAATTGTACTCCGCAAGACTTACCCGTCAGGAGAAAAGAAAAGACTCCAAGGATATGCAAGGCTATCTGGTTTGTGGGTTTATTGCATCTGCAGGAAGTATTACTAAGCGTGTATCCTTATATTCAATTTCATTAGCAGTCATCACTAGTTCATTAAATAACCATTCTATCAGAACCATTTTATCATCTTTCATATTATAGTTCTTACTACGGTGCTAGTTCGTAGACAAGTCATACCGGATTACCCGACGATTCACGAATCAATATATCCCAGCTGAGTACCCCGAAACACAAGTCTCGCTTGTAGCCCAGGCACAAGAAGGACCAACCCACCACTCTCCTGTCAAGGGGTCCTGGTCCTCGTCCAGACTTGGACTCCAAGCCCCCACACCTGAGTCCTGGACTCAATGTGGTGCTTAGACCTCCACCATCCCCGCCTCCAATCAGTCGGTCCGGAAAGAGCCGGAACCCACGATAAGAGAGCAACGAGCCTTTCCTGCTTCCATAAACAAGCATGTGCTCAGGATAATAAATCTATGACCTGACTAGAATCTAATGCAACGGCCGATCCTTAATCGACACAGGCGGAACAAATGCAATCCGAGCCTCGCTCGAGTGCCAAACCAAGTCCAGATCCAAAGTACCATTCCGTCTGGTCTTCAATTATCATTCATATATATATATATATTCCATGTGATATAATAACAACAATAATATATTTCCTATCTCTCGCGAGTGACAGGCAATCACTCTTCTACCGGAGTCCTGTAGCATAGCAATCTACACGATCCTATCATACTAGTAAGACTCATAGGATAAAGATATATATATATATATGCAAGTGGATTTCATTCAACTCCTTAAACTTAATGCACGAGTATAAAATAAAGTGCAGAATAGTAGGGGTTATGCACCGGGGCTTGCCTGGGTAAGATATAACCAAAAGTTAGCATTCTATCATGATGACACGATCATCAAGGCACCATCTTTTCCGCTACTTCGGTCATCTCCACAATCTATCGTTGTTCCTATTATGATATACGTGGATGCAACGCCTCCAATCAGTCGGTCCGGAAAGAGCCGGAACCCACGATAAGAGAGCAACGAGCCTTTCCTGCTTCCATAAACAAGCATATGCTCAGGATAATAAATCTATGACCTGACTAACTACTACAGGAATCAATTTGCGCAGCGTGACCAAAATGGGCTCCGTGGCGAGCACCTCTTTTGCCCTCCACGGTTAGCGGTGGCGGCCAATGGCCCGCCCGGCCACCGAGGCGCCCTGCCATTGGGAAAAGGTTTACATGCGGTGGGCCACCTTACTTGCCCACCGCAGAAATCGTTATTTACATGGCGGGTGGTATGAATCTCCGCCATGGTTATACGATTTACCGTGGCGGGCTATTCTTGCCCGCCACCGCGTGTAAAGAGTTGATTTACCGAGGCGGGCGCTTTATCTTGCCCGCCGCGGTAAAGCATGTACAAATACACAGCACCACCCCTTCATCTTCTCCATGGGTCTTCCTCTCTCAAACTCATGGGGGGAGGCTTTGCCCTAAAATTTGAGGAAACTTTTGATTTGAGTTGAAGGGCTTGGATTTGAGGGAGGAGGACATCATAAGAGGTTCATAAATGCTCTCCCTCTCTCCTTCCATCCTCTCTCTCTATTTCCATCACCTAGAGTTCTCTCTAGATGTAGATCTAAATCAATTTTAATGGAAAA